TGTGTGTGTGTGTGTGTGTGTGTGTGTGTGTGTGTGTGTGTGTGTGTACGGGTGTGTAAAAAGACGACGTTGGCGATGAAGAAGAAAAAGATGCAGTTGAGGAAAGAAACGTACTGTACACAAAAGGGTTTTAAGTGAATCAACTCAAAGAACAAACAATAAATGTGATTTCAATTTCAGACACTGAATTGTCGCTTTCATTGGAACATGAGAGCGCATCTTTGCACGCTCGTCCGATTTGTCGATTGTCTTCAGTTGTAATGCTTTTTGGCCACTAGGGGGAGGTACAATAGCATCTTTATGTTGGTTACATGGTTGATTCCAAGCTTGAACACAGCCTTAGATGGATGGGAAAACAGAAGTTGGTTCGGAACTTAATTGACCACAATGTGGAAATTGTCTTTGCCTTAATAACATGGCATACATATAAAAAAAACAATAGAGTTAATAGAGTAAAGTCATCTAGAACAAAACAATGTCTTTAAAAGGCCTCGATTCAGAGTTTACAGCTTCACTCCCCTGGAAACAGGTTGACAAAACAATCTAACCCAACATGCATGAGAAGTCCTTAAAGTGCTCAGAAACAAACTGAAATGTAAACCAACTTTAATTTGCTGATGAAGATCATGTGATATGACTGAAAGCTCCAGAGCAGCTGCTGAATGGACATTGTGAGGAGATTGTTTCCATGAAGGTAGTTATAAGAAACTATAGATGGATTACATCGAGGAGCTGAATGCAAGTTTTAGTTAGTTAAAGACACATTTTGATAGCTGATAACGGAGGGTCACTTACAATATGAAAAACATAAATCTCTCACTTACAGTGCCTTGTAAAAGTGTTTTTCCTATTTCGTTGCATTACAACCTGGGATTTAAATAGATTTTCATTTGGATTTTGTGTAAAAAAGATCCAGTGCTACCTATTACCTTCAGAATTCCCCTAATTAGTTAAATAAAGTCCACCTGTGTGCAATCTTAAGTGTCACATCATCTCACCTGTTCTAAGCAACACTTCTAAGCAAGTGGCACCATAAAGAGCACTCCGAAAACAGGTCAGGGTTGGGTTATAAAAAAGTGCCGCCAACACTCCCGGACCAGGCAAGGAGGGGAGGGGCTTAATCATGGCGGCAACAAAGAGCCCAAAGATAACCCTGAAGGAGCCTTAGGACCACTTTAAGCTCTACACTCCACAGAGCTGGGCTTTATGTCTTAGATTTTTTGTTTTTTGTTTCATTTCACTTCCCCAATTTTGACTATTTTGTGTGGAGCCATTACATAAAATCCAAAAGGCTTCAGTCACACTGTAATTAGATGTTTAGTTTGGACTTAAGAGAGAAAGAGAAAGTGCAGCTGCAGAAGTCACAAAAACATCCATGTAAATTCCAGGTTGTAATGCAACACAACAGGAAAAACACCTAGAGGGCGTATACTTTTGCAAGGCACTATAATTGCACCGATGGTATGCTCATATTTTTTTTACCATCTATTAGTCATTCTTCTGTTTTCCTACCGATCAGGTTTCAACACCACATGACTGAGAAAATAGTTTACACCAAATTGTTATACATCATCAAAGTAACTTCAGAATGATTTAAAGCTGCAATGAAATATTTTTCTATCTATAACGTACAACACTAGATCCGATGACATTGTGTAAGGTGAAGATGGTCACTTCGGCAAAACTACTCGGATAAACACCCTGTAAACTGTCCCAACACCAAACGGCAGACGGACACAGTTTCTCAGGAGTTGGTGGAGACCAAAACGGAGCTAAAAGGAGAATGTAATTCGGCAAGTCAGATTACAACCTTCTGTCAAACCAATGTTGAACTTGTTTCCGCCGCCCCCAAGTGTTCAAAACGATCAGATAATGCAGGTTTAACTTTCTAAGGAGATGCATATGTTACAGGTATCAGGATTGGTACCAAATAGCCAGATGATAAGTTTCTGTAAACAGGACACACAAATGACACAGGGCAATTTCACATCTGTCCATCTCACCTGCTCGTCAGAATGAGGAAACAGCATCGCGCCGTTGTAGTCTAACTCTACTATCTTAACGCCTGCCCAAATCAAAGCAAAAAGCACCACCCTGCCCCCTGCTGGCCACAGGGTGGAATGCACACTCCATACACAGTGAAAGCACGTCAGTCCTTTATCAAATGATTATATTTCTAGCACATACAATGCTCACTCTAAACCATATTGGCTTTACATAACCCAAAACACACCAATTCACATGTGAAAGCACATTGGTGGGTGTCACACATATACTGTGTGACTTTCTGAAAACAAAGTATTTTGTTTGAACCACAGATGGCCATCAATCACTGTTGTCAAGTGTGTCGTGTGTTGCTCTTTTGGTTTGACCTACATTCATTTCAGGTTGGGATACATAGTTTCAACGCCCTCCTCACAGACTCGGCCAACGAGCGCCATATCGTCAGCAAAAGAAGCAAAGGTGCTAAACTGGTACCTTGTGGAGCACCTGTGCTGGTCATCTGTTGGACAGGAAACCTGTGATCCGCAGGTTAAGAGCAGCATTACACTTGAATCCAAGAGCCTTTTCATCTGGACTTAAAAGCCTCCCTAAAATCAACAAATACAGAAACGTCTGTTTGATGTCTCTGGCTATAGATGTGTGGTCTCCAGGATGACGAGACCGTAACTTTATTCCATCTTCTGTTCTTCACCCCCTGTTCACAGATGGACATGCCTTTGTACACACCATTACTGGTTCTGTATACTGCTGGCAGCCTTTTTCACCACCTCAGATTGGAAAGCTGATGCTTTCAAGTCTGAGGCAGAGCAGAAGAACCGCTATGTGAGTGCAGTGTTCACTCTCTTTTGATCTCAGCTAAACAATACAATATGTCTATTTAGCTGCTAAATTGCTCCACCATGTTCACCAGGCTATAGCTGCTAATTTTGGCCGTCTCTCAACAGTAAAGCTGCGGGACGGTAAAACCACAACAAATGAGCTGGAAGATGCTAAAAAGCACCGTGCAGCTGATGGGAACTGCAGACTCCTTTTTAAGAGCGCTCGCTCACAGCGGAGACAAATGAACCTGCTAGACAGAAAGACTTTAATGACTTTACTTCATGGTTTATGAAAGCAATCCCATGACTCTGAAACCCTTTCCTAGATCAATTCTCAATAACCTGAGCAAAAGCAATATTTCCGATCAATGATGAAGTTAATGAGTTCTGCTAAAGT